TCCACCATGACCTATGTTCTTTAACACACCTCAGACTCTCAACAATCACAGAGGCAGGTCACAGGAGAATGCCACTCAATGAAAGTCAGCTTAAGATTCCTTTATTTGGCTTCAGTCAAAAGCAGGCTCATGCCAGAAAGGATTCTTGAGAGGGGAGAGAAACAGGGTCTGGTTTATAAAGCCAAAACCTGCAATTACGTCATACCAGAGGCAGGCCTGGCAGCAGACATTTCTATTCTATTGATTAAAATAATTTGTTTTATATTGTAAAACAAATGGCCCCACCCCCACCCCCTGCCAAAGTTGCAGGTGCGACTGTGTGAAAATGTTCTGTTCAGCTGGATGTGCTCAGGGGGTTCTGGGGAGGGGAACACAAGATGGAGTTAGCTAAAACTATGACAAAATGGAGTCACTTTGGGCAGTTCAGAAACCATGTTCTCCTTTAAACCACAGTGGCCACTGTATTGAAAACCTCCACATTACTTCAGCCTTCAAAGGGAGAGCTGGCTGGGGCAGTTTTTTCTAATCTCGGCACCACATGTTTTCAATTGCTGTGTTGCGTGATGTTTCTGTCACATCCTGTATGCCCAAGGATTTGACATAAGACCCTCCCATTTGGCAGCACACAAGAAGATGCATATATTCAAATGGTGGGTGATATGAGGGATTGTTTGGGGTCAGTGTGATCTGAGCAATAAAAGTGATGAGATGTATATGATGCTGGTCATGGTGGGCTTTTGCCCATGGCAGAGCTTTGCTATTGCTCTAACCAGCTTTAAGCAGGAGGGTGATAGAACATGGCTGTATGGAAAGACTGAGTTGGTTGCTGCGGAGAGTATAGCCGGGAGAGAAGGACAGGAACCCGCCTGGAGAACACTGAGTGGTCCACATTGGGTGGCGGAAGGTGGGGATAGGATGGCGGCAGTGAAGGGAGGTAACTGGGCTCTTTTAAAATGTGTTTAGGGGAAAATGGAAAGGACTTGGGAAAGTGGATGATATCAATCAGGCTGTTTACTGGACTTTGGAAGCCTGAGGGAAAGGATGGTTGAAGGGAAAGTTCAGCAGTTCTGTTAGGCACATAATGACTGAACGACTTATTAGGCATTAGGGTAATATATTAATAAATTTATCATACAGATGATAAATTTCTCCCGGCTGTCTTCACAGTAGCTAATAGTGTTAGAAATAACAAAAAGGGGGTGTTATGGCCATGTAGTGACAAGCACTTAGGTAGGGGCATCAAGCCAAGGGAATAGCTGGATCTGAAGTGCTTGTCTGACGTTTGGACTTTGGACTACCATACAAACCACCACTGAAGCAGTGAATATAAAATGTGCTTTGGCCCCTTGTAAAATGGCAGATGAATATGTTGAGTTTAGCCAGAGTTCTGGATACGAATGAAGAATTACACTTGAGAGTTTGTAACCACAGGCCTGTTCTCATGTGGTTTGTGGTTTGCATGTATATTGCCTATTTGATCTGGTAAACCATAAACCCATAAGCCAATTAATATTTGAACATGGTTCTTGAAGTTCCAGATCCAGAAATAGTGGACTCCCTTTTGTTCAAACTATGGACAAAATACTTTTCTAACCACAACTGTTAAAAACTACTGAGTAATGAAAAGCAGGAGGCTCAAACCGGGAGAAAGATGATTGATTGGCCTTTGAAAGAAAAAAAAATGGTGGAGGAGAGCAGCATTTGCACCACCCTCTGGCAATGCAAAATTATGAAAATATCTCTCACATTCTAAGAGCCTGGAACGTTTGCTGGGCCTCACAGCCAGAGTTAATAATACACCTTAAAAACACTTAAAAACACACTCAAAACTTAAGAGTGCTATCCTACTGTGCACCCAGCCTGTCTGTTTAACTTGACTTTAAGAGAACAATCTAATAATTAATCCTATTTGCCTTGGATTTCTCATGTAGCCAACTTTCACAACCTAAGTTAATGCATAACTGCAATCTTAAGTTGTGAACTCTTCTATGCCCCTGATGCAGATGATGATGATGATGATGATGTGTGCGTGTGAGTGTGTGTGTGCGTGTGTGTGTGTGTGTGTGTGTGTGTGTGTGTGTGTGTGTGTGAGAGAGAGA